AAATGCAGTTTTCACATCCAACTGCTCCACTTCAAGATCTAGGCTATCTGCTAAGCTCAAGATTGTACGAATAGAAGTCATTTTGACAACAGGTGAGAAAATTTCATCAAAATCAATACCTTTCTTCTGTTCGAAGCCTTTAACCACCAATCGAGCTTTGTATCTAACCAGCTTGCCATTTCCATCTTTCTTGAGTTTAAAGACCCACTTACATTTGAGTGGTCTTTTACCCTTTGGAAGTTCAACCAGCTTGTAGGTGCCATTTTTCTGTAGAGATTCCATTTCTTCTTGCATAGCTTTCATCCACTGGTTCTTTTCTGGATGGGACAGCACCTCCTTAAGACTTTCTGGCTCCCCCTCATCACTGATGAGGACATACTCCGTGGAAAGGTACCTGCATGACTCTACCCTTGGCCTCTCTGATCTCCTTAGAGGTTGAGGATGTTCTTCTTCTTGAGTGGGATACTCCACTTGCTCGACATCATCATCAAGTTGCTCCCCCGGCTCAATAACCTCACCAGGTTGCTCTCCCTGCTCGGCAACCTCGTCGGTCGTACTTTCTGCACTTGTGGGATAGTTAGAAGAATAAGGAATGGTAACAAGGTTAGGGATTATACCATTCTTTGTCTTCTCTGACTGATCATCTACAACTCCAACTTCACTTTCTCAAAAGATTACATCTCTGCTTCTAATGACTTTCTTCTTTACAGGATCCCACAATCTGTACCCGAACTCTTCATCTCCGTATCCGATGAATATGCAGGGAATGGATTTATCATCCAACTTTGTTCTCTGCTCCTTTGGTATATGTGAAAAAGATCTGCAACCGAACACCTTCAGATGTGAGTAGGACATCTCCTTGTTGGTCCAAACTCTCTCTAGGATGTCAAACTCTAATGGAATTGATGAACTCCTATTGATCAGGTAACAGGCTGTCTGAACTGCTTCACCCCAGAATGACTTAGGCAGTTTAGCCATTCCGAGCATGCTTCTCACCTTCTTAACAATGGTACGGTTCATCCTCTCGGCTACGCCATTGTGCTGTGGGGTTCCAGGAACTGTCTTTTCATGTCTGATCCCATGACTTGAACAATACTCTTCAAATTCCCTTGAAGTGTACTCACCTCCATTGTCACTTCGGAGGCGCTTAAGCTTTCGACCCGTCTCCCTTTCCACTAGAGCATGAAACTTCTGGAAAACTTGAAACGCCTGATCTTTGGTTTTCAAGATATAAACCTACAGTTTACGTGAAGCATCATCAATAAAAGTAACAAAATATTTGTTATCGCCCATCGATTCAATTTCCATTGGACCACAAGCATCAGAATATACTAAATCAAGCATATTCAATTTTCTTTCAAACGATGTCTGAAATGAGAGTCTATGCTGCTTACCAAATAAACAGTAGTCACAAGGTTTTACTGTTGTACCTTTGGCAAAAGAGATGAGTGATTTCCTGGAAAGAATCTGCAATCCCTTCTCGCTCATATGACCCATTCTTTTGTGCCACAAATCTGCAGAAATCTCATCTTGTGCCGCGTTTAATTCTCCTCGGCATATTTTTGCATTTGTCTTGTACAACGTGCCACGAGCAACTCCCTTTGCAATCACCAATGATCTCTTGGTGAGTCTCCACTATTAATTTGCAAAATAGTTTTCGTACCCATCTCGGTCCAAAGCAATTTCCGAGATCAAGTTCATCCGCAAATCAGGTACATGTCGCACGTCCTTTAGAACCAATGTGCATCCGACATTTGTCTTGACAAAAATATCACCAATCCCCGTAATCTTTGAGTAACTTGTGTTACCCATTCTCACAGTGCTGAAATCACCTGCTACATATCTGCAAAAAAGATCTCTTACCGGTGTGGCATGGTAAGATGCCGCTGTGTCAACCACCCATTCCGACTCTGGACCTGCCAAGTGCATGCATTCCTCTTCGTCATTTATGAAGAGAACAACATTATCATTATTTTGCACCATGACGGTTGTGTTGTCGTCATTCTTCTGGCCACTGCTTTCACCTTTGCCCTTCCTTAGATTTGGGCAGTCTCTTTTGAAGTGACCTGGTTGATTGCAATTGTAGCAATTTCCGATTTTTGACTTGGATTGGTTCCTGGACTTCCCGCGAGCTCCAGATTTACCATAATTGCTTGAACTTCTTTGATAACTCCTGCCTCTACCTTCTGTGATGAGAGCCTGTCCTTGATTTTCAGGCTTCTTTCTCATCTTCTCATTGAATAGAAGAGCCGATGTGACGTCTTTCAAATCATTGTTAGTCTTCCCGTGCAGGATGGTTGTTGCCAAATTATCGTACGAATATGGAAACGAGTTCAACAGCAAGATGACATTATCTTCTTCCTCGATTTTCACTCCGAGGTTGGCAAGCTGTGTGATTAGTCCGTTAACACATTTAAATGTGACAAAAAATTCGTACCTTCACCCATGTGTAGGGCGTATAACTGCTTCTTCAGGTACAATTTATTTGTCAGCGTTTTGGACATGTATAGGCTTTCCAACCTTGTCCAAATACCACATGCGGTGTCTTCATCAATGACGTTATTTACCACATCATCTGATAAGTGCAACCTGATTGCACTAGCAGCCTTTTCATCCAAGTCAGCCCAATCCTCAGCTTTCATGGTATCAGGCTTTTTGGCATCAACATCTAGTACCTTGTGTAATCCCCGTTGAATGAGCAGATCCCTCATCCTTCTTTGCCATGTTGAGAAACTGCTATCTCCGTTGAATTTTGCTACCTCGTACTTTACTCCAGACATTTTATTTTTCACCGAGTATAGTACTACCGACAATGAATAGTATTTCTGTGAACGAGCAGAACCTGTGCTCTGATACCAGTTGTTGGGAATAAATCCCCCACAGTAATAATATTCACGGTAATAAAAGCGGAATAATAATATAGCAGTGAGATACGGTAATCAACAAGAACAAAAGAGTGACAATGACACCAAGATTTTTACGTGGAAAACCCTTCTGAATAAGGGAAAAAACTACGACCCCGAGAGGAGCAACTGATATCACTATAGTAAGGAATTTTACACTTTGTAGGCCCGAGTAAAATACTACAAAGACCACTACAACACTCAAAAGAAATAATCCTCTTTTGATTCCACCTCACTACAATATCGCTCACACTCTCTATTTTCCTCACAGACTATTTTCTTATACCCTGTCTGTGATGCCTCACTCTTTCTTTCTCTCTTGTTGGTGTGTTTAAAAGAAGTGAAAGAGCTCTCCTTTTACAGGAGAAAATACGTAGCCTCCAAGAATGCTACAGGAGGAGCTTCAATTCTCCTCCATTCATTTCCAAACTTGGGGCCAAAGTAATCATAGGCACATGCCTATTACCAAATGGGATGGACCCCACACGAGCTGGTCATCCACATTCAGGAGCGCTCGTGGAGAGAGAAGCCGCACGAATGTCAAATATAAAGTCATGAATCTCATTAAGATCATATTGACATACTCTCTCTGATATAAAATGGAAGAAAGGGAAGGGAAATTCTTTTATTTTTATTTTTGCTAGGGAAAATTGGGATATGGAGTCTTAAGACTGTATGGGTCAAAATTCGGCATGGTCGATGCCGCATGTCGAAATGATCCGATTTTCTATGAAGGCCGTGGTCAAAGACTTAGCGTGATGTGGTGAAAGAGCCGACGAGAGTCGTGGTCAAGATATCACAGGGACGAAGTAGAGGTCGAGTATCTTTGACAGAGCTATAACGGCTAGTTTTCAAGATAGGGTTCTAGAGTGAATATTCTCTACATTTGTACTATTAGGATTTCTTAGGAAAATGTCCTATACAAATAGAAAATGAGACAAAGATACGGGGGTGATATTTTTTTGTAGAGAACAAACTTTGACTAATAGATTCGTCTCTCTCTCCTGCTAAGATACAAACATCACATTTTTACTAAGATTCTTGTCCATACTTTTCCACCTATTCCATCATTTATTGGATGAATCATTCCTCCTATTTACTTAAATGCCATTTATTGTATTCATTATTATTGGATCTTACATTATTGCTCTTGCTTTTGCTTTCTATTACAACTATATATTACATGTTGTTGCCATTATCCGATCGAACCCATCTAATATTTATTGCTTCTTTGCAAACTCCATCTAGGGATATTATTGTTAACTAAGATTTATCCTTAATTATACATATATTTAATTATTTGAACCATGATATACACTTGTGGTCAAACAAAGACATCCTGAAAATCAAAGACAAACGAGAATTTCTGTAGCTAGATTTTAGAACCTGTTTGGACATATTTTTTTTTTCCTTTTTTCAAAAGTTCACTTTTTTTCGAAATCAACGTTGTTCATAAAATTTCCAATTTTCACTTGAAGATGCATTTCGAAAATTTTCGAAAATTTGAAAAACTTCAAAAAGGTATTTCTCAAAATTTTCACTCACAAAACTTCAAAAACGAGCCAAATTGAAATTTATGTCCAACACAACTCTAAATTTCAAATAGCATTTCTACTTGAAAAATTTTTTCACCATTTTTTTTGGATTTTTACAATTTTTAGGTCCAAACACCTACTTAATTTAAAAAAAGTGTACTCTAATCGAGATTCTCCGAAAATAGATTAATAGGGTGTGTTACGAGCCTACGACTGATATATTGAAATCAATCCTTATTGAAGTCGGGCTCACGTGTCAGACTAATATTTTGAGTTTGGCAATCATAAATGATTAGCAGTTCTAGTCATGTATTTAATGTTACATCGGTTTAATTACAAATTGTATTAATTACGGAGCAGGTTTGATTTAAAAAAATTTTGCAAGTTGAAAATATTGTATGATTAGAAAATTTAAAAAAGATTCTTATTGATAAATAGGTCATGGTTAGAAAATGAGTTATGCAACATCTAAGAGGAGAGAAAATGACATTTGAGGTGGGACCTGAAGAATATAAAAAGAGAATAAAGATTACAACTTTCAATATAATCTTAGCTACAAAATCAGTTAGTGAAAACCACTATATATGCGTATTAGACACACACTCCTATGATTAATTATTTATTTGCTACCAGATTTTCAGGTAGAGCTCATGTTCGCCACGCGTAGTGTTCGATAACTTTGGAAGCAAGGTCTTGAAGTTTTGAGAGAGAAAAAAATGGCAAGCAATAATGGAAGAATTAGAGAGTCAACTTTTTACAAACAAGTGTTACCATTTGCAGCTATGGTGTCTATGGAATGTATAAATGTTGGATTAAACACACTTTACAAAGCTGCTACAAATAAAGGCATGAGTAATCATGTCTTTGTTGTTTACAGTTATGGTCTTGCTGCTCTTCTCCTTCTTCCTTCTCCCTTTTTCTCTACCAGGTTTCTTTTTTGTACTCTCTGTTTTTGATCAATTGTTATATGTGTAAATCTTATCAAGAATCTGACGGGGGTTGTAAAATTGGAAATATCTGACTGCAGATCAAGAGTACTTCCACCCCTCAACTGCTCAATTCTAGCCAAAATATTTCTTCTTGGAGTTATCGGGTACCTTTTGACTCTTTTTCTTCTTTTTGTTTTTCACTCTTAATCTGTCAGTCTGCAGATATACTATAAGCCAAAAAAAAAAAATTATTCTTTTCCTGCAAATTAGGATGATGATCAGATTTCTTAGTCTTATTTATGAGAAAAAAATCTACTGAATTCAATTAAAAGTCTGATTCAGGGGTCTAAATAGTGCTGAACTAATTCAGAGACATCATTCAGTCAACGCCAATAGGTTGAGATTAAAGTACAGTCGATTGATTGGTTGACCAAAATACTGTAATTCTGTTTCAGGAAATTTATTCAGGGCAAGGTCAATAAGAATTCTTGTAAATTAAATTCTTCTTAGTTTTAATTACTTTTTATTTTTATAACTTTGTTTCATTACATAGGGATCTTAGAAGGGAAACAGAACTGGGGCATTTGCGCGAATGGCCTTAGTGGGGAATTTGCATGAATAACCATTTTGAGGCCACTATTTAAAATCATTCCTCTTACGTGTAGTAGATTATATTTATCAAAAAAGAAAAAAATCACCCAGCTCTTATAGGCGAAGTTTGGCTCATTGTGCCAACAGTGTCAACATATAAAGAGTGATATCAGGAAAAAAAAACAACTCACACCAATATAATTTGAGACTGTACGCCTTGATGGTTATTCGTCTGTGGTTCACCCCAGTAAATTTATCAGAATTAGTCTAGAACAAAATTTATGGACATGATTGTGTTTTCTTGCTTTTCGATAAGATAATATAAATTATAGTGGCTAATTGAAAATGCAGGTGTACATCACAGATAATGGGCTACACAGGAATTAACTATAGCTCCCCTACACTTGCCTCCGCCATCAGCAATCTCGTCCCTGCTTTTACTTTCGTCCTGGCTGTCATTTTCAGGTTTTTGCTTCCTCTTCTTTTTATCTCATGTCCTTTATTTTCGGTCGTTTTCCTTGCTTTTTTCCGATCCCCACTATAATGACACTAGCGTTGTCTTCTCTTTCCTCTTGTCTAGTGGTCAACAACTTTGTCAGCATCCATCAATTTTTCCCAACCAAAAAAAATAGTTAAAACATTTTTTTTTTGTTTTGGTAAGGAGGTATCGGCCGCCGCGACAACCTCTCGTGTGAGCACTCTGTGCGCTGAGTAACCCTCCTCCCCCGGTGCAATAGCCTGCAAACCACACAGGGGAAATAAACCGCACTAGGCAAGCCTTGTGCGACAGGCTCAACCCAAAAGGCATCGAGGGGGGAATCGGAGGACCACCCTCCAAACCCTCCAAAAAAAGAGAAAAAAAACTAGACCAAACTTACATATGTCTAAAAGTTGTAGTCTAAAGATTTGCAACTTTATTTTGGGCAAATAGGATAATAATATTTGTTCTATATGTATAAATTGTTGAATCCCCTTAACATAATAACATAGATGGTTCAAAAATTAGATTAGGCTACAAATTCAAGTCACAGGTTGTGGTATTCATGCATTTCTTCAATTCCCATGTTAAATTAGATGAAATGAAGTGCTTGGGGGGGGGGGGGGGGGGATATGATTCATGATATCGAATTCGGGAGATATTGAGTTAAAAATGAAGTCAAATTGTTNCCAATCGAATTGGATGCTTGGCGGCCTTTTCCTCACAACTGAATATATTTTGGTTCCTATGTGGTACATTGTTCAGGTGAATGCAGACTTAGTTCCTGAATAGAGAGCTACTCTTTTCCAACAAAACAAATTAGCTGATTTTGAGTCAATTTATCTGATGACAGACATGGATTATGAAAGAGTATCCAGCTGAAGTGACTGTAGTTTTCTTCTACAACTTGTGTGTGAGCTGCCTAGCTGCTATTGTAGGCTTTTTCACTGAACCCGATTCCAGCAAATGGCGAATTAAACCAGATATTGCACTGGCCTCCATCCTATGCTCTGTAAGTGAATTGAGAAATAAGTTTGATCGTACATCTTTGTTATATACATACCAGGCACTACATTCTCCAGAATCAAAGCAATTAGATGTCCAACTCGGGCATATATGACATGGCCAATCATTTGATGTGAAAAGCCTACCACCCCGCTTTCCTAGACTACCAAGTTGTTGTCTTTTAGCCGTCCATGTATAGAGATGGCAAATACATGGGTTGGGTCAAACTTGGACAAGTTAAAATAGTCAAATCGGCAAAGGAAACTCATCAAAGTTGGATCAAAATGAGTTGGGTCAATATGGGTAAAATAGTGGTCATAACTCAAATCCGCCTAACATGACCTTGCCTCTTCTTTTAGATTTTTTCTGTTTAGCTTTTTAAAAAATCGTGAAAGTCAATGTATTTTTTCGTATATTATTAGCTTAAGTTCTTCCAAATTTACATTGTTTCTAATCTCCAAATTTGCTTTTGTATTGTTGTGTTTTGGTTGTATTTTGACTCGTCAAGTTACATTATTTTGATCCAAAAGTTCGATGTGTCATTTTGAATTCAACTCGTTGGGTCAAGTCAACAAACGCGTCATAACTCATAACCCAATCCGCTTAAGCTTGGACGGATTACTATATATGAGTTGATTTTGCCAGCTCTGTAATCTAGTACGATGATGAAATGATGTGTGCTGCATTACACAGGGAATTTTGGGCTCATCCCTAAACAATACCATTCACACCTGGGCTTTGCGCGTCAAAGGACCAGTGTATGTAGCAATGTTCAAGCCACTGTCCATTGCCATTGCAGTAGCCATGGGAGTCATTATCCTAGGAGATACTCTTTATTTGGGAAGGTACTAACTCCTCAACACATCTATTTTCTTTCATAATTTATGTCATTGCAGATCTAATCTACTACTTTCTGCTTTGACAATCAGCGTTCTGGGAGCGACTGTAATTGCCATCGGATTCTATACTGTAATGTGGGGAAAGGCAAAAGAGATGCCTGAATACGATGATTCTAATGATCTCGAGTCTACTTCAGCCCAAAAGTTTCCTTTGTTACAGAATTACAAAAATGAAGGTATCTCAAACAAGTAAACAAGTTAAATGAACTCATCAAGCAGAAAGGCAAGTCACACAAAAAGCGCGCAGTTGCTGCAAAGCAAGAAAGAAGCTACTATTTTTGATACACAAGGGGAGCAGTTGTATAGGAAGAAACAAAAGGCTGCTGTTGGGAGAAGCAGAGCAGCAAATTGTAGGCATATATATCCTTGTTTTGTACAGCTCTTCTGAAACAGCATGCTCAACTTGTATCTCATGAATGAACTAAAGCCTATTTTAGTACAGTAACTGAACAAAAATGTAACAGGTAAGCAATTAAGGGCTACTAATTAATCAAAATTAAACAGGATGTATGCATCCTTTCTGTACCTCAACAGGCTCTAGTGTACTTTATATAAAGAAAGATTGTTAAACCATAATGATTCTGCTTATATTCTATAATTCATTTCCAGAATTAATTGCAGCATCTATCTACAGAGTGCTCTCAAAATTAAACACTAAAACTTGCCAGGACATGGTTGCTAGAGGTGGCAGAATCAGCTCATTTTTTTGTAACTTGTCTAATTTTCTTAAGTTTAAATGGACTGAACTCAATTTGTTGACTTGATCCAATTGGTCAGATGGGTCAAAATAGTGTATCCGGCGGGTCAAAGTGCAACCCAAACCCGGCATACAAAATGAACTTGGAGATTGGGAATTAAGTAAATTTGAAAGGAAAAAAAAAACAGTTAAGCTAATAATTTAAGCAAAACAATTTTCTTTTCTTTTTTCCATAAAGCAAAACTATAAAAGTAGGAGAAATTTGGTCACGTTAGGTGGGTTGAGTATGACTCGTTATTAGACTCATCTTGATCCAACCCATTTTAATCCAAGCAATTTTGGTGAGTTGAATCATGACTCATTTATAAACTTGACATGTATTGACTCATCAAGATTGATCCAATCCTCCTATTTGCCACCAAAAATATATAAATATGCTACTTTTTTGGGGAACTTTAAGGTCCTAGTCCAACTAGACCTCATTTGTTTGCACTTAATGGAGGTCTGAAACTTAATCATTCAGATCTCAGACATTAAGTGCGTTTGTTTTTTAAGTCTGAATCTTAATATTCAGATCTTAATCATTAAGTGTGTTTGTCTTTTTACTTCACAATCACTTAATGTGTCTGAATAGGTCTGTATGATTAAGATCTATAACAGAGACTTAATTTTATTAAGATGCTATCATCCATATTCATTATTAACTGCCGCCACTGCCTACCATTGTTAACTACCACCACACTACCACCACCACCACCATCACACCACCATCATCCTCAATCATTGTAATGACCCGGCCGGTCGTTTTGAGAATTTAAGCTCCGTTCAGCAGCGTAAGGTCTTGAACAACTTCATAATATGTGTATCAACTTGCGTGCATGGTTGAATTCAGTTAAAGGATGATCCAGAGTCAAATTGGAAGAAGGAAACTAGTTTTGGAAGTTTAAACGGTGAGAATTTGACCGGAATTGGACTTTTGAGTAAACGGCCCCAGAATGGGTTTTGGGTGATCTCAACAGCTTTGTATGGTGATTTTGGACTTAGGCGTGCGTCCGAATTCAGATTTGGAGGTCCGTAGGATAATTTGAGGCATTTCGGCGAAAGTTGGAAAAGTTGAAGTTTGGAAAATGGAGAAGTTCGACCCATAGTTGACTTTTGTGATATCGGGGTCGGAATGCGATTCTGAAAGTTGGAACAACTCCGTTATGCCATTTTGGACTTGTTTGCAAAATTTGGCGTCATTCCGGATTGATTTGATCGATTTCGGCACAGGTTTTCGAAGTTGGAAGATTTGGAAGTTCATAGCTCGATTTCGTGGTGTGATTCGGCGTTTCGGCATTGTTTGATATGATTTGAAACCTCGAGCGAGTCCGTGTTAGGTCATATGACTTGTTTGTGTGTGTAGACGGGGTCCCGGGGGCCTCGGGTGTGTTTCGGGTTGTATTGCGCTCTTATTTGATGTTTTAACGACGTTTCTTTGGGAATAAAGGGTACCACATTAAACAAATGAGCTCCAAAGTCAGTTTTTATTGTACCATTAGACCCGTATCGCAATTACGCAGCCATAGCAAAAAGAATCATTGAATTTGGACAACGTATGAGGAAGTTATGCTCATTTTTGTGTCGGGAAAATCTGCCGCTTCTGGTATGGTCGCAATTGCGAACATATCCATCGCAATTGCGATGCCCAGTTCGCAATTGCGAATTTTTTGTCGCAAATGCGACCTTTTCCAGCCCTTCCTTGTTCGCAATTGCGAAGGCTTTCGTTGCTTTTGCGAGGGTTCGCAATTGCGAACCCTGGATCGCAAATGAGACATTTGCAACTTGTTTTCAGCTGTGTAGCTCGAGTTTTTGCTCATTTTTCATATTCTTTGAACCCTAACTCCGAGAGTGGGCGATTTTGACAGAAGACTTTTATATCAAATCATTGGGTAAGTGTCTCTAATCAATTTCCAACTATATATTGTGATTATATCTTATATTTAACATCAAATTCATGAGAATCTAAAGGAAAATTTGGGAAAAAACTATGAAATCTTTCAAAAATGTAAAATGATGATTTGAGGGACCAAATGGTGTCGGAATTAGATAATTTCCGTATGGGTGAACTCGTATCAGAATGGGTATTCAGTTTTTGTAAATTTTGTCGGGTTCCGAGGTGGGGGCTCGGGGAGTTGACTTTTGTTGACTTTTTGCAAATTGTATAAGAATCATAGTTTTGTTAATTGAAATTATTTTCTCTTGCATTGTTTGATGTATTCAAGTCGTTTTTGGCTAGATTGAGCCAAGCGTTGATGAATTAGTAAAGGAAAAGCTAAATTGAGAATTGAATTGACCGGATTGAGGTAAGTATCTTGCCTAACCTTGTGTGGGGGACTTCCCCTTAGGTTTTGAGTCTTCTATGTTGATTGTAGTTTGTGTACGTGAGGTGTCGAGTGCATGCTCGAACTTATTTTTGGAAAATTGGCCTTTAGGGTTCTTAGATCTTTATATTCACTGTGTATGAATATGTTCTTGACATGACCGAGTTTCCTATTTACTAGTTTCACCTCTACATGCTTAATTGGAATTAATTGCTTCATGATTCACTCTTATTGCCTAATCGAATCCTATTTGATTTAACTGAAGAATTTCGCCTCTCTTATTGTCATGCTATCTCTTCATAGCTGCTTGTCTTATTGAGAATTTATCACTGTCCCTCCTGAAATTGTTTAGTCTTAAGTGAAGCTAAGATCATATTTCCTTAATTGAATTGTCGAATATCCTCGTAATTGTCCAACCTTAAAAGGAGTTAGATAACGTATATCTTTGTTGACTTGCCTTTATTTGGGATTTCTTGACTCGTGTTGATTTCCTTGTTATTGACTTGTATATTGTGGGATCGTTGCTACATGTTAGATTTCCCTTTTGTTGAACCGTTCCCTTTATGCCAGCATTCTTTTCTGTGGTTATTCCTTGTGAGCTGGTCCTACCGTTTCTTCGTGATTTACAGTTCTTGAGTTGACTTACTTGCCGTACTTTGTATTATTGTCATTGTTGCTGTTGTGTATTTACTTTAGGACTACGGATCGGTATTCCGGGAGATCCCCCTGCACCTTTATATTTGGGACACGGGACGATATTCCGGGAGATCCCCCTGTACTGGATATTTACATTGGGACTACGGATCAGTATTCCGGGAGATCCCCCTGCACCTTTATATTTGGGACTACGGGACGATATCCCGGGAAATCCCCCTGTACTGGATATTTACTTTGGGACTACGGATCGGTATTCTAGGAGATTCCCCTGCATATTTACGATTTGGACTACGGGACGATATCCTGGGAGATCCTCTGCACATTTATGTTTGGGACTACGGGACGTTATCCTGGGAGATCCCCTGTTGTTATCTCCGTGTTCTGAGCTGTTGTTTTCATTGATCCTATCCATGTGTAAACAGTATATGTGCTGTCCGTTTCTGTCCTTATGCTTACTAGCTGGTATGAACTATGATAGGACACTTGCACAAGCATACACATGGCTAAGCACCCTTATCGGATAGGAGGCTCCTTGAGATTTCTGAATATAGACGCACACCCTTGTTGTTTGCCTTCCATGTGAGAATGACTCTTTTGGGCATGTGAGTTGTCAGTATGATTAGGAGGTCTGATGAGGGTACAGGAAGCCAAGTGTTAGGGTTCAGGTATTTAGACCCGTATTGTATGATTATGAGATGAGGTGTCACAGGGTGACTGATATGCGAAGGTTATCTATTTGAAAAGATTATATTCGAAAAGCATTTATTTTGAAAGAACTCTTTTTGAAAAGAACATTTATTTGAAGGAAGTATATTTCGATACATTTTTATCACTTGAAAAGTTTGACTATTTGATTAACGCTTGCTGGATAAGACTTAAGGTGAAAACTATCGGAGTTGTTGAGTTATGACTTGTCTTTACTGTATTTGTGAATTCGAATTTGGGTTGTATTCTCGCTTACCTTTCCGTGTTTTCTTGATGGTGTTCCGCTGAGTACTTTCTGTTTTTCTTTCCTTATTTTTAATTACTGTATTGTTAGCCGTATCGCGTAGTCTTTATATAAATATCATGTTCTGTATATTAGATCAGTTGGTGTCTTGACTTTTCCTCGTCACTACTCCACCGAGGTTAGTCTTGATACTTATTGGGCACCGCTGTGGTGTGCTCATACTACACTTCTGCACATTTTTTGTGCAGATCCAGTTATTGATCGTTAGTAGCTGAGCTGATTCTTGCCGATGAGACTCAAGGTAAACTTGCTGCTGTGTTCGCAGGCTTCGGAGTCACCTTCCTATTTTATTATCACACTGTTGTACTTATTTCTATACGGTTTTGTTTAGAAGTTATAGCGAAACTCTTTAGAGCTTATGACTTGTACTACCGGGTTTTGGGAATTATAAATTTTATAAAGATTTCTGCTTTAAGAATGTTAAATTTCATTTATTATTGTGGTATTTCAGTATGAGTTAGGCTTACCTAGTCCCTAAGACTAGGTGCCATCACGATACCCAAACGGAGGAAAAGTTGGGTCGTGACAAGTTGGTATCAGAGCTCTAGGTTCATAGGTGCTACGAGTCATAAGCGAGTTTAGTAGAGTCTTGCGGATCGGTACGGAGACGTCTGTTCTTATCATCGAGAGGCAACGGAACTATTAGGACAATCTTACTTCTTTCATTCCTATTGTGCGAGCTTATTGATCTCAGAGTTTGAACTTTTATCATTCATTCTCTCACCGATGGTGAGGACACGAGCTGCAGTTATCGACGGCGCTGCTCCCGGAGCAGGTGTCGCTAGAGGCAGATGCAGAGGCCGACGAGGAGTACGTGTCGCAGTTAGACCACATTCCAGAGCAGTGA